AAAGAGAAAGGAAAACTTGAAATCGCATCATATGACCCCTTTAACATGAAATTGAAAGTGACCCAATTTACTTTTTTACTACCAGTTCCTGCTCTTAGTGTGTTTGATACATCTGTGCACATTATTTTAAAGAAATAAAAAAAAAATTGTCTTTGTAATATTCATAAAATCTAATAACTTACTACACAGCAAAATCCCCAGAGTTAAATCAACTCTGCTCAGAGAACAGTTGGTACCACTCTTACATAGTGTTAGTTAAAGTAACACTGAAGCAGAGTTAAAGTTAATGAGATAATACATTTTAGAAAATTATATTTATATAAAAACAAAAAAAAATAAATAAATAAAAAAATACGCAAAATTCAACATTAATAAATGAATCCCGACTCATTTAACTTGATGACAAATTTTTACAAAGTTGTAACAGCCTTCATTTTTAAAGTGACTTTAGAAATTGTAATTTGTTACCTTGATTCTGCTTCATTAGTTCATCCATTTTGATATTGGTGTCAACTGTTGTTTTATTCAAACTCGTCAGTTCTTCTGCTTGTTCTAAAATAATAAACGAATGTTTAGTGCATATGTGGACAGTGACTACAAGCTGAATAAATAAAGATTTAGCTTCTTAACCTTTGTCAAGTAGTGATATGCAATTTAACTATTTTATAATCTTTCAGTAGAGCAATATGCTGTTACAAACATTTAGAAATATACAAACTACTGCGATTCATTTTAAACTGGCACTGTCATGTATAGGATCCTGTCATGTTACCTTTGTTCTTGGTTTTTAGTTGTTCCATTTCATTCTCCATAAATTCCATTCTTTGTTCAGAGGAGAACAGTTTATATTGTCCCCATCTACAGAGTGTTAAAGTAACACTGAAGCAGAGTTAAAGTTAATGAGATAATTAAGTGACTAATTAAGTGATGATTGAGCATTAGTGGTGAACCCCTGTTGTTAACAAGCAAAATCACTGAAGAAAAGAGAAACACAAGAACTACAACTGACTTCAGCCACAGCCTTAGGCCTGGGTCACACTAGACAATTTTCAAATCTTAACCAATTTTAAAACCATGGGAAACCACGGACATGAAGACAGTTTCAACCCATTTTTAGCAGGGGTTCACCACTAATGCTCAATCAGCACTGCATAGAGTGGGACCAAACATACTTTGAGCAGAAGTGATTTAACTCTGGGGATTTTGCTGTGTAGAATGTCTGTTGGTGGAGCGTCAAAATAAAGTGTTAGCAGATATTAAGCTGACAGTCTGCTAATACTCTAATGACTGCTAGTTGCCATGTAGTTACAAAGTTACTTCTAGTTAGTAAAATATCTAAAGTGGACTATCAAAATTAAGTGTAACTAGTTTTTTTATAAATCTTGTTAATGCTTCATGCAATTAGCCTATAGCTAATTTGAATAATTTATTAGTTACCAGAGGCCCCAAACACTTTCCTCATCTGTCATTGGCCAAACAAGTTGTCCCACCCCAAGCTCACACCACTGGATTAGCCAATGATGGTACAGTATATCTGGCCCAAAAATTTAATAGCTTTCATTTTCACAACTAACTCAAAAAATCAAGTACCACATTTATTTAAATGTGAAAGTTTGAAGAAGAATGACTGTAAAAGTATTAAGCAGTAAAAGTATTTTCTTGTAAAATGTACTATAATAATATTATCATTTGTTTTAAGAAAAAAAAAACTTTTTGAAGCATGCATGGTGTGTTGATCAACGTTTATATGTGAAAAAAAATCGATTAAATCTGTTCTTATAAAGCGACGTATCTCTTCAGAGGACTTATATTAAACTGCTCTTTTTATGGATTACTTTTACAATGTCTTGTACTTTTTGAAGCTTGGAAATTTTGGTTACATGGACTAATTGGATCGACACAAATGATGAGAGATTATTAAATATATCTTCATTTGTGTTCTGAAGATGATTCCTGTAACAAATGTTCATCCTCTCCATAACTGGCTGCAAGCTTATATTCAGTTATGGTTCTATTGTCATGTGAAAAAAAAAAAATAAAATAAAATAAATATATATATATATATATATATATATATATATTTCATTTTCCAA